GCTGTTTCAGTTTATATACATATATCAAGGCTGCACAAAGCTTTTCCCCAAAATGAAAATCTATCTGAGGGCTAATAATATAATTCATGAAATACAAATACTTCTTAAGTACAGTACTTTTATTTGAATGATTATGTCCTGCTGGAGTGTGACATGATTCGTTTACAAATTACTACGTATCAGAGTTTTATATATTTATACTTCTCATTCAACCACAGTTAAATTCACTCTAGGAGGCACAGTTTATATGGATAGTATTTATTTTTTACAATAACAAGCTGGAATGAAAACAAGCAAAAATTAAATAAAAGTAACGACTTTCTACTTCTTGACATTTTTTAAAAAATGTAAGAACTAGAAAGTACAGATAATTGTGTGAAAATGTAAGGAGTATAAGTAAAAAGTAGGCTGAAAAATAATTAAGTAAAGTACAGATGCCAAAAAATTCGAGTTAAATACAGTAACAAAGKATTTGTTCTTAGTTACTTTACAACTCTGAGTAAAATAAACGCYGTCTCTACATTATTTCAACAGGATGTAGTCTTCTGACTCCTGCTGGTTGGTGTGAGTTAATTAGTTTTATTTCCCAGTGTTTGGTTGACTTTGACAGCCTTTCACTGTAGATTTAATGGAAATTTACATTAAAGGCAACGGAGCGCCGTGGTGCGTTTTGGTTACCAAACACTAATCGTAATTATCAGTATTTTTATGCTAAGCTCAAGAAAAACTGTATTTAAGACCCTTCTGTTAATCCAAACAAAAATGTCAGGGGTTCAGTTTGCGCTGTTTTCAATAAAATTGTTGTATTTGATAAAATTATGCTCGAAATTAAGGAAACGCGATTAAAGCTCTATTTAAACTACTATTGTATAATAACACAAATTTAAGAGACGTGTCCCTATATGTTTAACATGTTTAATCTGAGCTAGAAAACGATTTTCACAGCATCGTCAACAGAAAGAAGTGGTAAAAACTTTAAAATTGTTTGTTTTTGTCGCAAATGTTTGGTGTCTGATCACCTTGAGCGAGTTTGAAAGCGGCAGCTTCCCGAGCAACAGAGGAAGAGGAGGTCTGAACACGGTGGTTCCAACAAAGTTCCTAAAACAATAAAAAAAGAAGTCCGCGGAACATCGCGAAGGAGGGCAGATTGGATTTAATATTTTATTTCAGGTAATAAATGTACTTTTAATTGTTATTTACCAGCTTGTTTCGTTCCCTAATTTAGCGTGACGCTTTTGGCTGAAGTGAAACTAAAAACCTCGAAGCAAAAACGTATATTTTAAATGATTTCGATCACAAATTATTATTTGAGAGGTTTATTCAGCTGAATGTTTTAAGTGTGTATTTCTGATGTGGCTTTTCATTTTGATCGATGTTTCGAAAGTCTCGGTCAAATTTTAATACATTTATATTTGTGACAAAACACGACATAATAGAATTTTTAATTTATTATTATTGTTATTATTGCTTCAAAGCAGTGGTAATTTTAGTGTCACAACTCCTTATAATGTGTATTTTAACAAAATAGCCGCTTGTCGTCATTAGCATGGTAGTTAGCATACACCGGAAGTTTACATCGTCACGTGACCTCCTTCCTCTTTGACTTCCTGGAATCTCCTACAGCAGCACCGCCATCATCGGATCTGTGCTTTTTATTCACTATAATATAACCGTTCTGTTCGTTTTTTATTTTTTTTATCTTTTATGTTTCTCGCTCCAGTCTTCCTCCGCTGACGGACTCTCCTCTCGCACCGAGGCTGTCAGGATCATGAACCCCGAGAAGAMCGACTACACCTCGGTGGAGGTGGGAGCCTCTCAGCCCCCTGCCTTCCATCATCCGACGTTTCCCGTAACGTTTGGCGAGCACGGTGGGGCCTCCGCACCCGGTGTTGTCCCTTACCCCCCGCCGATGGCCTTCGCACCGGCCGGCCCCGGAGCCTACGGGGTGACCCCGAAGCCGCAAGGAGGAGGCGGCTCTGCGGGTTATGTCAACCCTAATTACCCTGGTTACACTGCACATCCTGCCCCTCCGTACTCCCCACCAGCCTCTGGCTTTGTTGACAGCTACAGTGGTAAGCTGTGAGAATTATATAGTGGCATGATGGCAAACCCAGCTAATAGAAACATATTTTTACATGTTGTGTATCTGCTTTAGTTATGGCATTCAGTCCACTGGTTCACATACAAATATTACTTCTGTAATGAAATGGTGTATTAACTGTACTTTTATAGCCACTTTTTWTACAATCAGGCCACGCAAAACACTTTACAACACAATCTATGCCCTCATTTATCCATCCACACAGCATTTTACTCCATCCCYACAAAGCTAATCTGAATAAATCATTCTATAAATTATAATAAGTGCTTTAAATCTCATTCAACATCCAAGAGCAGAGCTCCACAACGTCCCGAACATTAGCAGGACAAAGAGGGAGACAGTGTTACTGATCTAAACGTTTATATCACTCTAGTCCGAGAACAGAATAACTTTATAATGTATCACAGTTTTGTCAGCTGTGTTTTTGACATCCTGGGTGCACAGATGTGAAGAAAAAGGTGCAGGTAAGATGGAGTAGGTCTGGGCTGATGCTTGACAGGAGGACGGCAGCACAAATTAACTCGACAATCTGACAGAGAACATTAACACCTTAAAGTAACTYTTAGTTTAACTTATTACAGTGTTTGTGCAGGGTCTAAAAAGTCTAAAATTTGAAAATCTAAATTTTAGGCCTAAAAAAAGTCTTTAAAACGTCCAGATTTTCCTCCAAGGTCTTAAACTTACTTTTGTCGAGTCTTAATTTTTTAACTTTTRATAATTCCCGAGAAGCATTTGCTGCGTAAATAAACAGATTAAAGCTCTGTAATCACAGGTTGAAGTGCTAAGTTTGCTACCGGTCTTCTTGTTAAACTTCAAATCCTGTGAAAACTGCAGGCAAAAAATGGCACCGTTTACTTCTTTGCCATTACAACCCACCCCCCCACCCCCACCCCCCACATACAACAGCTTGTTC